ATTGCAAACCAGAATGAGGTTGGAATATTCTTCACTATGGCCAAATAACTCATACTGAGCACAAAATCAATCTAACATAGAACAGGCAATTGCAAAAGTTGGGCATATGGCTGCAGAATAGAACATAGAGGGTCTAAGTCCTGACAATGTAGAAAATATTCAGTGAAATCTAGGATATTTAGAAAATTTACCATTGCTTATACTGGAAATTGACAGTTGTGTCTGCAAAGAAAGGAGCCCAAAATGCTGATCTTATCCCAGCCCCAGAGCTGCCCTCCTGGAGTTGTCCTGTCTGTCATAGGCACTTCCACTCTCTTGATTGTCCGGCATTCCCCCCTTTCTGTCACACCCATAGTAAATCCGTCACTCAAAGACATTCAGAATCCAACTATTTGTTCCTCCTCCACTGTCATCACCCTGGTCCCGGCCACATCCCAGCCAAGGCCTTGAAACAGCTCTCCAGCTGAAATTCCTGTCCTCCACACAGTCTGCTTTCAAAACAGCATGCCAGTGTGATCCTTTTAAAGCATGAAGCAGATCACACCATCTCTCCCTGATTACCCAGCTAGCCTCCTAGCTTCTGGCTTCAGCACAGCAGCAGCTGAAGAGAGTGTATCACCATTACAACTCTCATGCTCACCATACCCACTCCCGACTTGGGCAGGGCCAGGTCCTTGCAATGACTGATGGGGACCCAGTGCAGGAGTCTCCTCTCCCAGAACTCCCTTTCGCTAACTCTACCACAGTTGCAATGACCTCCTTGGTGTTTCTGGATCATGACCTCCTTGGTGTTTCTGGATCGTTCCAGGCATCACCCTCCCGGCTTCACCCCTCACCCCCAACTTGGGAACTAGCTGGCCCCAACTGCTCCCTCTCTGAGGACAGGAGCACAGGACTCATCTGTCTTTCAAGTCTTTCCTCAGACTCCCTACTCCTGGGGTATGCTGACAATGCTATTTTAAATACAGACTACTCCCCATTGTCCTGCAGCATCACCCCCAGGCATGCTCTGACTCTTGTCTTTGGACATTCCCAGACCAAGATTCCCTGGAGGTCAGAGACTCTATGGGCAGCCAGAGAGAGCAAAGGAGGCCCAGGCCAGGCCCCAGGCTGATGCATCATCTATTCTCTTGTATTTGCAGTCCCTCTTTGCTTCTCAGCAAGTAACAAGGAGATGGCCCTGGTCCTCAGGACAACCACTGAAACTATTTTCCCTCCAGTATAAATGACATACACGCAAGAGAATGGCATTAAGCCGTGGACTTCTGGGAGTACAGGTGAGACCCATCTCAGAATGAAGCCCTGATTTTTTTAAAAAAAAAATCTCTTTTAAACAAGAGGCCTCATTTGTTCATGTAAATAAATAAATCAAAAAAGAGAACTGAATGTTTTAGACTTTGTGTATCTAGACCCAAGGTCAAAAATGTAATGACATTACTATTATTATTATTTTTTTTAAGCAAAGATTGTTTCATTTCTACAATAGCTACCTTTAAACTACAGTGATTTACCTGGAATTCTGCCTCCCCTAAATTAAACTGTTGCATTTCTCAAGGAAACAAGCTGAATCCGTTTTGTTTATACAGTTTTGTCATTTATAAGGGAGCTGCACTTGAGCTCTTAGTGATCATTGCAATGAAAGAAAACATGTTCCATAAGCAAGGCTAAATTGTTCTTAAGAAAGAGATTTATTGTTTGAATAATTAAAATAACAATATACAATGGTTCTCTATCAGATTGGAAAATGTCAAGAAAAAGCCTAATATCCAGTATTATTTTGGTTATAAGAGATAGAAACTACAGCAAACTGAGGTGAGATGTGTAAATGAATAAAATGCTGGCAAACTGTCAATACACAATGAAAGTTATAAAAATTATTTACTCCTTGAGTCAGCAACTCAACTTATAGAAATTTATCCCCAGGGATAAATGAACACATATACAAAGATAAATGTGATAGAAGTCATTATGATATTTTTCTAAGAGAAAAACTGGCAAAACCCAAAAATATGACATTCAACTATCGTGTTGGAGATATCTAGTTGCCAAGTATCCAACACCCCCTCTGACTTAAGAAAATAACATACATTATGTCCATGATGGCTTACAGATGCTTCATAGCCAGGGGCGACCTGGCCAGTGATCCAGGGAGATGCTGGTAAAATTGATTCGTGATGCACTTCTGGAAAGGACCTTAAAGGGAGGTGACTCATGTAGGAGGGACAGCCATCTCCCTTTGCTCTTCCTTATTCAGGGAAATGTGAAAGGAAGTTGACACTATAGCTTGGTGGCCATCATTTGGGGATGAAGAATGCTGCTAGGAGAGGCAGAAATCTCCCTAACACATAAGGAGTTTGGGTGCCTGATGACTTAGCCAAGCCAACTAGTCCTGAGCTGTCTACATCCAGAGTCCTCTTACGAGAAAAATAAACTCTTGTGAATTTAAGTGGCTGAACTCAATCTTAACTAATTAGATAAATGTAATTATTGATGTATTAAAATCAACATTACACAGACATTAAAAAGTCATGGAGTTCAAGACCAGCCTGGCCAACGTGGTGAAACCTCATCTCCACTAAAAATACAAAAAATTAGCTGGGCGTGGTGGCACGCACCTGTAATCCCAGCTGCTTGGGAGGCTGAGGCAGGATAATTGCTTGAACCCAGGCGGCGGAGGCTGCAGTGAGCTGAGATTGCACCACTGCACTCTAGCCTGGGTGACAGAGCAAGACTCCATCTCCAGAAAAAAAAGTCATATTAAGCACCATATTTGTTGTTATGGCAAGATATACATAGCATATTGTTAACTGAAGAAAGAAGATTATAAGCCAGCAACAATCATATGATCAAAAATTTTAAAAATGTATAATGTGCATCTACGGGTATACAATTGCTTGGGAACAGGACTGACAGGCTAGAGACAAAACATGTTTGCAGCAGTTATCTTTGGTTATCTTTGAGTGATGTTATTTGGGGGGGAATTTAACTTTTTAAAAAATTGCAATTTCTAATTTTTTTCTTTGATGACTTGATATTGCATATGAAATTTAAAGACAAAAAAGCTACTACTACAACTTAATTTTTAAATTAGTGGAAAGAAGGGATAAAACGTCAGTAACATCCAAGACAGACAAAGCATTATTTCATCTATGTAGAAACACTTCTAAATAAATAAGACACAGAGATAAGTGTGCAAGTAACCTGAATAATAAATTTCCCAAAGGAGAAGTAGAAGTGGTCTGTTAACATAAGATAAAACATTTTAAACAACGTTAACAATCTAAGTATGCAAATTAAAATGAGAGGGCATTTTCAACCATCAGGTTGTAAAGACTATTTAAAAAAAAACTGTTATCTAGTTGGTGAGGATGCTGGGCCACATACACCCACCCCTACTGTTGGTGGCCTAAGTGCCCTTGGGCAGTACAGAGTAAGAGCCTCCTATATGGCTGGTGCCATTTCACTTCACTCACACGTATGCACATTGAATTAACATACAGGACTGTTCATTTGCTACAGCGTTTATGAGAGTGAAAACTGTAAACACCCTCAGGGAGAGAGAGAACGCCTGCATAATGACAAGCATTAAAAATAATGTCGAAGAGGCAAATGTCATGGAAAATGTCCATAATATCAAATACGCACCTTGATAGAAACTAAATTAAATTTATGATATTTATCTGTTTCCATGTAATAATGCACAATGGAGCTTCAAATATGGCAGGAAATAAAAAGTCATGGGAGCAGAAACTCCGAATAACAGGCTTTTATTTTTGAAGAAGTCCTTTGCACATGGACAGTGGATGTGGTGTGTGACAGGGAAGGTGCCTCAGAGACTTTTAAAAATTTAGTTGTTCTCCCAGACAGTGTCTAGCACCCTCTTCCCCACTTCTTTACCTTCCTTCTCAAAAGAGAGTTGGCAGGAGGGTTGCAACCAATGTACCATTTGTTTTTCCTTTGGTCATAGTTGTTTCCGTAATAAGAAAATGCAACATTCTATTTTAAAAAGAAACATCTAGAGTATAAACGATGATTAAGTCTACACAAAAACAAATACCTCACAAAAATTAAACCTAGATACTAGGTCTTAGGTTATTGGGGAAAAAAGGTCATGACTGACTGACTGATTATTTCATCTCACCAGTACATATTTGGCCCTCAACTATTTTGTATTAACATAGTGCTGAACTCAAGTGTCTAAATGACAAAAGAAAGAGAACTTCCAATATGTTTGCAAGTACAGTTAAGGAAGCATTCTGAAGAAGCTACCCTAATGAACAGAAATTGTTTTTCCAAAGTCTAACATGATTCCACCCTTTGTTTCCATATCATACATTTCTACTTGTGTAATGTCTACAATGTCACCTAAAACCCACGAGCTACTGCTCTGCATTAGAAGAGGGAACATGATTAGGGGTGTGAGCGGGGAACATGAGACAATCACGATGGGACATTGGGTGTGTTTGTTTTTAAAAAGAGCATGCCAAGGAGATGAGGTGTAATGTGTATATTCTAAGGTAATCAGGTGAATAAAACAATCAATGATATTATCTGTCATTTTCTAAACCCACTCATCTATCTAAATACTGGGGAAATAATTTTTCAGCTATGAGTAGTTCTGACAATTTAAACTCACATGTCTTCATGGACAAGCATGCAGTGATCTCTAAGCAGACCATGGTTATGTAATATAGGTGGGCAAGGTAGGACTTCCTAAGTGCTGAAACAATCTATGGGAAAACCTTCCATCCCTTTGTGGCCTTTCCAAGGGCATGTTATATAGAATATGTTATATGTTATATAGAACATTGTGGGTCTGAATAAAAACACCTAGGTGGACGACTAGGAATGTCTATGAGAGAATGATAGGCTTGGTGGAAACAGAGATACCTATCTATTCACAAGAAACTTCTCTGGAAATCTAGAAATGTTCATCTATCTAATCCTTTAGAACATAGCAAATGTTTGACAGGTAACAAGCAGATCAAGTAACTCCATACCTTTAGAGAATTTCCACACGATGGTAGGTACAGGGTAACCCTCAGCAGAACAATTGAGGATGACAGCTTTGCCATAAATCCCATCCTGGTCCCGCGGCTGAACTACAAACTTGGGAGGAACTGAAAAGAGAGAAATGTCACCAGTAATTAACACTAGACCAGAAACTGAGTAAAGGTGTGATTTTAAGAAACTGAATCATTTTAATGAACATTAAAAATAAGACTTTCATATACATGGGACAATAAAAATACTATTGGCAGTTTGGGACAAATTAAGAGAGTAACCTCAGTGCTGAAAAATTTTCTGATTCATATCAATGAGATTTGTCACAGGTAAAAGCCCTTTGCACTAGGGAAAACTGGCCTCGAGGGAGGAAGTTTGACTAAATCAAAGGAATGGAACATTTTGCTTTTGCTTGTGTTATCAAAAATATTCAGAAATTCCCTCAATGGAAAATTGAATCAGAATCACCATTTAAAGAACAGATCAGGCTGGGCGCGGTGGCTCACGCCTGTAATCCCAACCCTTTGGGAGGCTGAGGCGGGCAGATCACCTGAGGTCCGGAGTTTGAGACCAGTCTGACCAACACAGAGAAACCCCATCTCTACTAAAAACACAAAATTAGCTGCGTGTGGTGGCACATGCCTGTAATCCCAGCTACTCAGGAGGCTGAGGCTGGAGAATCGCTTGGACCCGGGAAGCGGAGGTTGCAGTGAGCTGAGATTGCACCATTGCACTCCAGCCTGGGCAACAAGAGTGAAACTCCATCTCAAAAAAAAAAAAAAAAAAAAAGAATACAATGTGGGGCTGAACTTTTCCCAAAATTCTGGTGAGGACATAGTGCGTTATGCCTGATGTCAGCACCAGGGCAGGCCAAAGGCGGACTCTGAAGAGCAGTTGCAGTGAGGTACCATAAAGCTTTTCTAGTGTGCCTATAAAAAACAAGATAATAAGTGACTGCTTATCTGGTGAATGTTGTGAGGTGCTGTAAACACCCATCCCTACCTAAAACATACATATGACTTCACTTAAAACATATCTCCCAAAAGAAAGCATATTATTTGAGACAAGCCATTAGGATTTTAATATGTATCATATCTCTTAGAGAGAAGAACACACACATTCTCCTAGGAAAGGTAGCATCTGAAGGTATTATAATCCCCTAATCTTTCCCAGCAGATCAGGGATTCACTACAGGGTAGACTTTCAATGAGGCAGTCATAAACTATGTGAGAGGAGATGAATTATCTACACCATAGAGTAAATACTTGGAAATTCCTGGTAAGGCTAATCTCTTCAGCCTTGCAAAATCCAGAATTCTTAATTTTGAGACATAAATGTGAGCCTACATGTTATAAGTAGATAGGAACTCCAGCTACCACATATGATAGACTGAGAAGATGGTTAGGGCCTAAGTTAGCAAGGGGCTTAGAAGCATGTTACAATGATCTGAGCCAAGCTGAAGATCACTTTGGCCTTAAAATAACCAAGGAGGAAGGGAAAATGTCAAGACACAAGAAGCAGCCAGAGATGGAATTAACCACAGTGTTTCTGGAAAATCATTGCTTTTAATTTTCTAGCCTTACTTTCTGTAGAAAGATTTACACATGAAGAAGCACCAGACTACCAGCATAAAGCCAACTGTTAAACATACTGGCTTGGTGTCCAGCTCTGCTATTTCCTATTGGGCAATTTTGTGCAAACTATAAAATGGCTCTTGGTCGCAATTTTCTTATCTGAAAATTGGAGATAATTATGGAACTCATTTTTAAGGACTGTTAAAAAGATCGAACAAATTAAGATTAGAAAAGTTCTCAGAACTGTGGAGATACTGCTATAAGAGTGCTGGTTAATTTAGTAAATGCAGGTATGTTTGGCTTTGACTTTTTTTTTTTTTTTTTGAGACAGAGTCTCACTCTGTTGTCTAGGCTGAGGGCATTGGTGTGATCTCCACTCACTGCAACTTCTGCCTCCCAGGTTCAAGCAATTCTCTGCCTCAGCCTCCTGAGTAGCTGGGATTACAGGCGCCTGCCACCACACCCAGCTAATTTTTTTGTATTTTTAGTAGAGACGGAGTTTTATCATCTTGGCCAGGCTGGTCTTGAACTCCTGACCTCCTGATCCACCCGCCTCGGCCTCTCAAAGTGCTGGGATTACAGGCGTGAGCCACTGCACATGGCCCGACATATTCTTAACGAGCAAAGTTCCCAACTTGCAAATGAAATAAATAATTTACACAGCCAATGGGTCTCTGAGATATTGCTTAACTAATAAGCAATGTTACTTCATGTAGAATACTTCATGGTATTCGGAGACAAAATGTAATTAAGAAAATGAAAATATATTTAAAATAAGATAATAAGGAATGACTGTCTCTAGGTGAGTAAATTATCTCTAAGAAATATGGTAGAGATTATATAGAGCTAAGTTTTCTAGTAAAAGTAACCAATCAACCTCAAGAGTAGGTGACAAAGTTGAAGACATTGTGCCAAAATTATTCTCCCCAGGTGGAAGGGAAATCTGCAGCCATCCACATTCTGTGCTCCATTTGGCTCAAGTTCTGCCAAGAGCAAGAAATTGCTCATCAATGGACAGGGTAGAAAATCTCTTGCATTCCCTCTGGAAGCATGTCTAATTATAATTGATCCATTACCCCTCCCCTCAGTTTGATTCTAATCCAACAAAATGTTCCTTAAAATCTCATCAAAGAAGTTTATATGAGAAACAACTATTGAAATATTGTAAGCATAAGGCAGTTACAGATGAAAATGTTCCCTAAATTACTAGAATAATTACCCTATATCATTGAAAACTGTTTCTGACCCTGGAGTAGCCAGGGGATTTCCCATGTGCACCTCTTTCCTCATAGACTGGAATTCTCTCTTCAGATACCCCAGTGATTTACAGTCACATGAAGACCTAAGAAAGAAGCTTCTGCAGTCAGTGAACTTCTTAATTTTTACAGCAAAGAGAATAATTAATAGTTCAGATATTTGATGTTTGGCTGATAGACCATGCAACTTGAGACCACCTTGAGGAAAATGCTATATTTTACTAAGTGCATGAATAAGCCAAATCATATACATTTCCTTCAAATTTTGACAGAAGACTGTCATGAATTTAAATATTCAATCCCTAAGTGATTTCTTATCATGTACCAGTGAATATGTAGGTCCCTTTCATGAAAATGAACTTGTGAGTTACAATAAGAATTCTAAGACTGGGAACATCCATGTATTTACACCAAGAAGACCTGAGGCCACACTCCTCAGATCCGACACTTTAAGAATATGCTTGGGTTGAGTTCTGCCTGGCAAAATTAGAGGTGATGGATTCCTGGGAAAAGTTGTAGTAAGTTTCTAAACAAATTTCTTTGCCTGCCCAGAGCCTAATGGGAAGACAACAGGCATACAGTCCCTTGGGGGTTGCCATCACTTTGAGACAGCTGCATCACCAGCTAAGATTAAAATTCCAGGGCAGGGGAGTGTCTGAATGAGGACCCAGTGTTTAACATGTAATTAATGACATCATCCTCGTATGCTCTAAGCACTGGGAATGACCATTATCCCTAGGGACAACAGAGTTACCAATTTTTTAAAGTAAGCAGCAGTTTATTTTTTTAAAAGTAGAGATTTTTTTTAAAAGAAACTATTAATATTTGACCCACATATTTTTTTCTACAAAATGGCAGCCTAAGAAATTGTCCTAAAGGAATCAGGAGCCCCCCCAGGAGTCACTTAGTAATAAAAGTGAGCATTTCCTGAGGACTCAGTGGGTTTCAAGTACTCCTAGTTCCATCCTTTGACCCCTCCCAGAATTGCCCTCAAGACAATTCTTATTTTGCTTGCTTATTAAAGAGAGGATCCCCTAGTATGGCCCTCTCCTGCTTCTCAGGGTGTTGTCTTCAATCTTCTCCACATCTTACTCAACAAACCTCCTGAGCTATTTCACCCACTCCCATCATGACAATTGCCTTCATCTTCTCTTGGTGTGTAGAGCATCATATTCTCCCATCATTAACTTATATCACAGATACCTTTAACACAAGTTTCCAAAATGGTACCTGTTCCTGTCCACCATCCATTAAGGTCCTCAAGCAAGAAAAATGAAATTTCCTTTCATATACTCTTCTTTTATTTCTTTTTTATCAGATACTGATAATTATTTCTTGAAAATGTAGCTTCAAATTCTCTTCATCTCCACTGCCACACCCCAGTCACAGTGAGTAGTCTGGTTATGTGGGAAAGGGGCACAGCCTCTCTGTCCACCCGGCTTCAGCACCTCTGGGCGGACAGCTCCACCTCCACACACTTTGCCAGGACACTGCACTAAGGGGATGGGTCCCTCTCTTTGCTGTCTCAGGCCTTCTCAGAAGTCATGAGCCTTTACCCACCTTACTGGTGCAACCCTGACATGTGAAAAACAATTGTCCATCACTGAGGGACAGGAGTCAGGGTATAAATTCTCTGCCTCTGCCTCACTTTCCTCCGATCCAGTGGGGACAATTATGAAGCCTGCTCTATGCCTACACTTCTCAAACATTAGAGGGCATCAGAATCACCTGAAGAGCTGATTAAACCACACATTGCTGAACCCTGTCTCCAGTGATTCTGACTCAGTAGGTCTGGGGTGGAATCCAAGATTTTGCCTTTCTAATGAGTTCCCAGGCGATGCTGAGGCTGCTGGTACAGAGACCACACTTTAAGAACCACTGTTCTACGTGATTCCTTAGAGGGCTCCCAGTAGGAATGAGCTCCAGTTGCCCATAGCAGCAACCAACTCATTAAAGTAACTTTTATTGATTTTTTTTCTCCCTTTCTGATCTCATTCTTTCCATTCTGGGATCCAGGAATGACATCCCAAATAAATAACCTGCCAGCCAATTCTGTACTTCACATTCTACTTTCAAGGGAACCCAACCTAGGACAAGGCCCATATGTCTCTTATTTAGATTTCTCAGCCCCCTAACTGGTCCACCTGCCACCAACTGTCCCACTTGAATTCACTGTTCACACAGAGACCTAAAGGATCTAAGACACAAATTGGATGATGTGACTTCCTTGCTTCAAAGCATCCCATATTCCCATGGCCCTTTGGTATAATCCAGACTCTTGGGATA